GGAGGCCACTCTCCTTCTTGGTCAAATAGCCCTTACACAGTCTGGAGGTGTGTTTGGGGTTATTGTCGTATTGAAAATAAATGTTGGTCCAACTAAACGCAAACCGGATGGGATGGCATGTCGCTGCAGGATGCTGTTGTAGCCATGCTGTATAAATCCCCAACAGTGTCACTAGCAAAGCACCCCCACACCATCACACGTCCTCATCCATTCTTCACGGTGGGAACCATGCGTGTAGAGAGTATCCGTTCACCTTTTCTGCGTCCCACAAAGGCAGCTGGAACCAAAGATCTCAAATTTGGACTCATCAGACCAAAGCACAGGTCTTCCATCAGGTTTTCATCACATGTCCATTCCTCATGTTTCTTGGTCCAAACAAACTCTTCTGCTTGTTGCTTTTCCTTAGTCGTGGTTTATTAGCAGCTGTTTGAACATAAAGGCCTGATTTGCACCAGTCTCCTCATTCAAAGTTTTAGCAATTTTCCAGACTGACTGACCTTCATTTCCTAAAGTAATGATGGACTGTTGTTTCTCTTTACTTAGCTGATTGGTTTTTGCCATAATATGAAATCTAACATTCGTCAAAAAGGGCTGTTAGCTGTGCACCAACCTGACTTCTGCACAACACAACTGATGCTCCCAACCCCATTAAGAAGGCAAGAAATAAGCTCTGACAAGGCACACCTGTGAAGTGAAACCATTTCAGGTGACTACATCATGAAGCTTACTGACAGAAGGCCAAGGGTTTGCAGCGCTGTCAACAAAGCAAAGGGTGGCTACTTTCAGGAATCTAAAACATAGGACATATTGAGAGTTATTTAGCATTTTTTTCTTTGCATATATCTTTCTTCTTATACTTGATGTCTTCAGTATGTATCTACAATGTAGAAAGTAGTAAAAATAAAGAAAAACCATTAAATTAGAAGGTTTTGACTGGTAGTGTATCTCACAGTGGAACATTTTCTCACTATTTGCTTTAACCTTTTAAATACTTTTACACTTCGGACTGCTTTTTACATTTTTTTTTTCCTCAACCAAAATGGAAAGACAAATCTTTTTTGTGGGCTGGCCAAATAAATTCCTCAAATGAGAAATACCACTGCCTTTTCCATTGGACCCTGCACCGTGTGTGAGACTTCACTTTTTACTTTCAAGCTCATCAGTTGATAAGGTGTGGGAGGGAAAGAGAGGTTTTTAATCTCTCTCTGGCTCTGACCTTAATAACACAGGGCCACTCTTGGGCTGCCAGTTCATTCCAGAGTGAGCTGGAGTGTATAATGTTGCATGATTAATACTTTTGCAGTTGCAGTATAGAAACTGGGAAGCATGAAAATAAGCAAAACACTGTAGAGGGCGATAATAAAAACCTTCAGTCACAGGTTTCCCGATCCTTAGGCACAGAACACAACAAGACACGATTTTATTAAGTTGGTCTTCAGACACTGAAACCATGTGTGAATGTGTTTCATTATGCAGTTGAAATGGGGACAGGCTGCCTTACTGAGACGAGTGTGCTGATTGATGATGATCCAGTTTATGACTAATGACTTTTTAATTTTTAAAAAATGGCCTGGATTTGGAAAAATAAGGAGAAATTCCCAGGAGATTGTTTATAAAAATTCTCTATACTACAAGTGAGCGCTTCGATCACTGGCTAATGTAGCCATTCAGAAATAATGGTTACAAAACAAAAGATGCCTATGAACATACAGACATATTCATATTTCTTGACAGTGCTACTGTCTCCCTTTATTGGTGTTCTGGATTGACGTGCCATATCTTGATACATGTCAAGGGATGCTGATACACCAAATATCAGTATTTCAAAAAATACATTTAAATAGTTGAATGAATACTATGAACAAGAGGGCTCATCCCATGCACAGTCATCCTGAGATGACGTTAGTTGAACAGACTTGCATGAAACCGGCTCGACTCAAAGAGCATCCAACACTGGGCACACTTAGCTTCAACAAGTTATCAGTTAATTGCTGCATTATCAGAAACAGATTGCACATAATTCCCAACTTGACCTCATTAGTTGCAGACTGTGACAAACATTTATGGCAGGTTTTGGTTGCAGTATTGGTATACTTGCTAATGCCATTTTGTTGCAAAAAAAATAACCAAGTAAGATAACATTATGTTTATTTTATCGGATAAACAAAATTTTGACAGTCTAACTTTGAGGACATAATTTACAGCTTAAAAAGATGATAAATGTATGTTGTTGCAATACTCAGCATTTCGCCAAAATCGCAATAATAATTCATCGTGAGTGAAGACATTTTCTGATGAGCTGTTTCCAAACGCGAAACATTTTCCTCCTCGTCTCTAAACTCTCTTAGAAAAAGAGATTTTTAATCTGTGAGATGTATACTTGGACAGATAACGGATATAAATAAATAAATAAAACGCTTATGTACTACCTCTTGCATCATATTGCAGCTTTCAGTTTTCGGTCTTCAGCAGAAAAAAGAAAAAACAATGCAACAACAAACACATCAGGCTGTTATACCTGGATAAATGCTATATTTTTCTGCATTTTCTGAAGTAGTTTGTTCTTCAGACCTGGCAGAACAAAAAAGCAGTAGGATGTTTACCAAGTCATGACAAGTACTAATGAGGCAGGATCTGGTAGACTTGCAGATAGTAAGATTCAGCCTAGACTCCAAATGAGAAAGCTACAAATTTATACTTTTTTTTAGGGGGAAAAATCCTCTTATCTTGTAAGTAATGGTTTAAACAAATTGCCATTGTCCAATAAAAAAAACTTAGGAAAACATTAGCTTGTCCATTCGTTGCAGTTCAAATCGAAGGGTTGGAGGGGGGGAAAATGCAAAATAGCATAGAAGTGGGATTTTAAAACTAAAAGTATATGCAAGATAATAGTATAAGTATAAGCAGCTGCCACAGAAAAGATGAATCATGTGAAACGACAGCGTTGTGTTTCTACTGGTGCTTCTCTGAAGAGTTGAACAGGCTCCCCTTATCCTACACCACAAGCTGTTGGATGTCTCCACACTCCGAGATGTAGTAATTCACAGTGGGTACTAACTGAAAAGAGAAGTAATCACCAGCAGCACTGACTAGAGGTAAAGGCGTGTGTCACGGCACGTTTTGTGGAGGAATCTTTGGTGCAGTGTGGGTGGGAACACGGTTTATTAACTTAAACATACCCTTTGTTGCACAGTTTATCACGGTGTTAGATGCTTTGTGTTCAGTTTGGCTTAAACACAAAACGTTTTCATTTTTTCCGTTATGAAATTGGTATTTCAAGTTCTTATGAAGGTGTCCATGAACAGATTAATTCCAGCAACACTTGAAGTGTGGAACAAGAACATGGATAATTTAACAGAATTTCCTGCTCCCTACTCTGAACTACATAGTACAACATAAAGCCAAATAATAATAATAATAATATCTTTGGTGCTAATAGCCACCTTCTAGCATCCTGCAGTGCCCTTTCATAGGGATATTGATGAATACAGGTCACAGGAGTGTTCATTTTGGCTGCTATTTCCTCTCTGCAGCAAATTACTGAGGAGCTTTACTTCTGATTGTAGAGTGCATCAGCCACTGGGTCAGTGCAAGCCCATCCACCCCCTTCCCCCCAATCCTTTGCATGTATCTCCCAAGATACTGCAAGCGGTAGCTGTCAGAATCAATCACTGAATTTTGTAGCCTAATGTCCAATTAGTATTCCAAGGTCCTTTAAATAAGCAGTTTGTCAACATTGTCAAGCTCCCCGCACTGCAGCGCTTGTCCTTGGCATATGAGCCAATCAGAATTTGATGAAGCGTCCAATCAACACATATCAGAGGGAGTCAGCCAACGTTTAAGTGTCCATGTCCCGGTGCGTATTAATTTGATTTATAATCCTCGGTGCGTGAACGGAGTGCGTCATGGAAAGCCACGAAGCCAAGAACACAATGAAACTTCTGGCCCTTGTCTTTATTAGCTTGGCTGCATGCCTGCTCCAAGGAGAGAGAAAGTTGGAAGAGGATTTGGATGCTCATGGTGGCATAAAGAGGCAGGCTGTTGGACAGAGAGGGAAACTGGTGTAGCTTGGTGGCCGTAAAATGACAGGTCTATATTTTATGGGCCAGAGATGCACTTTGTCATTTTTGTAAATTTTGTAGCTTGTAGTTGGGGAAACCCCAACTTTCAATTGGTATTGGGAAGAGCTCTACATCTTAGTCACTTTGTCAAAACCGAGATCATCATTAACCAGAAATGATGATGAGGTAACAGTCATGTAGACAGACTGCAACAGAGGGCAAGAAATCAGCAGATATCCATATAAATGAGACTGTGATATACAATACACGGCCACATGAACAGGAAATGTGCCTTCTTCTTTTTTCTGTTGTCGATGCCACATGTGTAAGAGTTGCGAAGGGGAGGAGGTGTTTTGAAATGGATAGAGAGCAGCACTGATTCAGTAAAAGCTGGCACTCTTTCCTCCCTTGGCTGTGTCATCTTCTCTGTTTGCCCTGGAGCGCCTCTTCACAGCATCAGCCTCCATGTCAGGGCTCATCTCCCAATCTCTTGCTCTTTTTATCCTCCTTCCCTCCCCGAGTCTCCTCTTTTCCAGCCTCTTTTCAAAGCTCATATGAAAAGTAGAGTCTTATTCTTCTCTGTTCAGTGGACCGATGTCTGTATGATTGGTTGAAAGGAAGTAATGCAATATAATGATATATATAGAGAGAAGACGAGGCTTTGCCATTGGGCCTGTGTGTAGAAAAACACTATTGTTTTGCATTGAATTGATTGGTGGATTTCACGTTCCTATGACAACTAACCCAGGCTACAACAGCTGCTGTAAATAAACCAATGTAATGCTCAAATGAAAATTATATCAGTGCAACTTGAAATCATACCACCATGATGACTGTATGATTGTGTCCCTTTTGTTTTTTGTGACAGTGATGTCACACGTGTCAAAGGACTTTGCTTCTTCTAACATACTGTTTTTTTTGTTTGTTTGTTTTTTTTAGATGATGAAACATGCCTGGGACAGCTACAGACAGTACGGCTGGGGTCACAACGAGCTAAAGCCCATCGCCAAGAAAGGACATTCCACAAATATCTTTGGTAAGCCAGATACTGCCGCCTTTACCCATCGGCAGTTTGCTCACACAGTCATAAGTCGCACTTGGATGCATGCGTGATGTGCACACACACACACCATCTTCCTAACACTCAGACAAACACACACGGCTCCTTCTCTTGTGGACAAGGTCATGCGATAGTGCCTCCAGCAGGATGCATATCACATTAGGGGAAAAAAATGTTTGCAAACACGAGCATAGGATCGCTGAGGCTGCAACAAGAGGATGCACGTGACGAACAGGAGAAATCTAAATGTATTTGAGATACTGCAGATATTTAACAAGTCTTTATTTAGTGCATAGATCTGCACTTTGTTAGTGAGCAATAAACACTCAAATAATCTCACTGTTGGGCTAACACTCCAATGTGTCAGCCTTATCACAGTAAAGTTGTAGTGTTAGGTTTAAAATTAGACAGTGTAGCTGATAATGCTTGGTGAGAAATTCTTTTTTGTACAAGGAGAGACAATCGGGATTTGTTTATTGGTATGCACCTCTTTATCTGCCATCTATGATGATCACAATGATCCAGCCACTACACTCGTTGTAGTTGAACATTTTGTACATTTTCAAAACATTAACAACATTACCTGCTGTTCAAATTAAATATGTTTTACAGAAACGATTCATATAAAATGTTAAAATGACTGAATTATAGCTTAAACTATCTATCTCTATCTATATATCTATATGTTTGGAAGTCTGTGAAGTCTTTCTTTTTTGGTCTCTGCCAGCACTTGTACAAAACTATCTGGCTCTTCAGCAGCTGATGCTCCACTCTGCCTGTCTGCTGCTTGCTGTGTAGTCTGAAGTGTACAGAGGCTTTTTAGAACTTATTGACTGAGAAGGACCGCCCACTAAGAACTGCGCCAATTAACCAAAACACTAAAGTTGCAGGCTAGACAGGCTATGCAGGGGGCTAAAACTCACTGCAAAGCTCCTTTGGGCAAATGGGAGCTGATAAATTTTGGCTGTGAATAGTCTGCAAGTTCATAACTATGCAAACTTTAAGTGCTCGTATTATGCTCAGTTGCAGATTTATCATTTTATTTTGGGATATGTTTGGATGCTTGTTCAGAATTTTTATTTTTTTTTTTTTACTTCTGTTATCTGTTGCAATAGCTCTTCATATCCTGTACCAGAAATGCTCAGTTTTAGCTTCTGTCTCTTAAAAACCTCCTCCCTAAAAGCACAGATTGCTTTGATTGGCCGGGTTGCCTGGCTAATTTGACCTGTTGGTTATACACTGTAAATCTATTAGTACGAGTGCAGCCCAGCTAACTGAGTCCTCAGTTCCCCGAGAGCTCAGAGAGCACAAAGGTTCTTGAGTTCATTCTTGTAACAAATACAATATTTATACCTGGCTTAGCTCGTGCCTGAGGCATTTTAAAAAACAGAAGCTGCTGAAGTGAAGAAATAATAGTAGTTTTAAATAACCAGTGCCCAGTTAAGACGGAATTTTTGTCAGCAAGGTTGTCCAAATTTCTGATATAGAAAATGTTACTGGTATCTTTATGAACCAAAAGTTCTGAAAATAGTTCTCTTAATTGATAAATGGGCAAAATGATTGCGCTAGCAAAGCTGTTTTTCATACGTGCTCATGTTTGATGTTGCTGTAAGGCATTTGTACATTTGTGAATCCTTTGGAGCTATGAAGATCTCTCATTTTATTACGTATAAAAATGGTCAGATCTTCATGTGAGTCAGATCATGGTGGATCCCGGAAAAGTAGTTTGTGTACTATGGGTGCCCCTGAGCTTTTTTGATGCAGTGTGTAATTCAGTGTTCTCTTCAGTGCTGAAAGCCAACCAAGCTCAGAGTCAGCAAATCAAACCCAAGCCTCTGCCATGCTTTAGAAATGAAATATGCTTCTGTTGCAGCCAGAATGTTAGAAATATACGTGTAGCATTTTCAGGCTTCTTGCATCTCTACAGTTTTGCTTTGGCCACTTCAAACTGCCTGTGTGCTATTAGTTCAGATGGTGCATATCCACAGTTGTCTTAGGTGGTCACATTCTGTCAGTAATCAATAGAGAAATCCAGGTTATTTCAAAGCGTTCCCAAGCTTTTTCTTGTACCTCCTTGTGTTATTAGTCAATTGCATGTCTTCATCTGTGGTCTATGGCTTTCAGAGTTGATGAAGTAGGCACACAGCTATCCAGAGCTATCCAGCCCTCTGTCACAGCTTTGTAAAGAAGACGCAATTAGCACATAACCTGCTAAACAATAGCTGGATGGAATGACTGTGTAGGCTGCAGCCTTTGCCTTTGTGTCGTGTTTGATTCATTTGAATTACGAAAGTAAATGGTGAAAAGATGAGGAGAGCTATGGTTAATATCGATAGATGTGTTAGTAATAATCACTGCCAATAATGATTTAACTCATTGGATACTGTGAGCTTATACCTGTGAAAATGTGGCTTTGTGCTTGTTTATCTGTTTGAGTTGCCAGCTTGACTTGTGTGTTTATGCTAATGTTGCTGGATGTGTGCGTTTATGTGCGTGTGTGTGTGGTGTGAGGGTGCATGCTTATGAGGCGTTTGTGTCAAATTGGAACGTTCCGTCTGGCAAATTGGCCGGAGGCGCCTCTGTTATTTTATGAGCTGCTGCTAAATGGTAGATAGATGCTGCTTGTGTGTGTGTGCGCACTTCCATTTGTTAGTATTCATGTGTGTCTGACTGTTCATCTGCAGCATGTCCTTTTGTGTTTTATCATTGTGTCTGTCTGGGTGGTTTTCCCCTGCCGCCTTGTAATAGCTGACTCTGGATAGATGCTGTTATTATTCACTGGGTGGCCAATAAAATACAAGCAAGACACAAGGCAAAATCAAGCATTGCGCTCCTCACAAAACACACTTCCATTATTGATGAGGCGTATCCTGTCTTCTTACAGGCGGTATTGATTGTGTTTTGGTGTGATTTGGAGAGAGTGCAGAATGCAGAAAGAAAAAGCAGTATTTGAGAGATGCAGTGGACCTCCTGCTGTGTTAGCTATTACTGACATTGACTGCTTTTAACACGGGGGACTCAGACATCCAAAAGTCTGGCTGACTGGATGAAAATAGTGCGAGTTATGGATTTAAACCACGTTCATATTTTGCTAGACCCTGATGCACTGCACGTTGGGATAAAAAAGTATCCCTTTGCATTTCTTTAAACTTGAATTCTGAACCTGACTTCTTGACTGGAGGGCAATGTGGAAAGATTTCTCATCTCCGACCAAGCGAGCGCGGCATCGTCCCGTTTCAGGCTAGAACTGAGAAGCGTTCTGTTCCCGACAAAAGCATTACATACATAACAGTTTGTATACAGCTAGCTTCTATTTAACATGCCCTCCATGCAGCTGTTAAAAAAAGAAAATGCGTAAAGCTCTTTGTGCTCACTGCATGCCTTCCAGCTCAGCCTTAATCTGTCCTGAGAGAAGAGGGCTGGCCAGAATGGTAACAAGTGGACCAGGGCTCCCATTGTGCCTCAGATAACCTTGTCTCCTCTGCCTCGCGCTGATGCCGATGCATTTATTTTTCCACCCTATTCTGTTGAGATGAGCTGAGTTGATTTTTGACTTCAGATCCAAACACATCCTTTGTCTACACAGTTCAAGCCACTATAACTCATGACCTTTCTGTAAGACAAAAGTAGCAAATACACTGGATTTTTTTAAAACTAGTATATGCCTGTGCCTAATACTACTAAAACAGAACAAAACAGAATTAGAAATGATGATGCGGTAACAGTCATGTAGACAATTAATTTTTTTTCCGTCCTCGTGCTTTGCGTTTGCAGTGCGATCTTTTTCATTCGTTTTGACTCCAGTCTTGGTAGATGATGGAGGCGATACTGCCCCCATAGCTTCCTGTAGTGTATTGCAGTTACAAACATGCATTTACGTGGTATTAGTATACGACACATTGACAATGTAAATGTCGACTATTTGTTGTAGTCGACGTCATCGATGACGCCAGCGAATCGTTGTAGCCCTACTTGCAGTAGAAATTGAGGAGTGTTGTTTCTTAGGGTTGCTACTTTCTATAGATTTAATTTGTGGCTTTTTGAAGTAATTTCAGCGGCTTTAGTCTCGTTTCGTGACACGCGAGGGAGTTCAGTGGTGAGTCTGAGGCCTGCCATCCATACTCTGTCTAGTGGCTGTTATTGCTTTATTGGTTTTGCAGTCCAGCGATTTTCATCTAAACCTGCAAGTGGAGATTTGCTCATATCTCATCCCCATGGCTTTTCCCCAGCGGCAGTTTGACACGCTCACAGTAAATGATATTACAGACAGCCTCAGGGCATGTTGTTGCTAGAGGCCTGTTAGGTTGGAGGCGATGGGGATGATGCAAAGCGGGGATGAGGCTTGGACACCTGGATCCACTGTCAGCTCAGTACTGGAGAGAGCTGCCTCATTATTCATAGCATGCTTTTTCCATTACAAGATTACTTTGGTTGTTTGCCCACAGAGATGATCTGTCACTTTAAACTCAGTTTTCAACAACACATTCTCGGTTGTAATCTCAAAAGCATTTGATGCTGTTTCTTTGTTTTGCTGCTTTTCTTAATGGCATTAAAGCTCATAAATTACTGCATTCAAGTAAAGCAAAAAGAATTATTACAGGATTTTCAGTATACGAGTCATTTGGGGGTGGGGGGTTTAGAAGACTATCTACAGGCCCTCTGTGTACCAGTAGGTTCTCTTTGGCTTCAGTCACTTTCAGAGTCCTGTAAAAATACCAGATCAAACCCTACTTTGATTTCAAGCTTTGCTAATCAGTAGACTCAGCCATGTAATCTTCTGTAGAGCTACTGGATTTTCATTCCTTCTCACATTATCTCTGCTGGGTTTGTGTGGATGATGTAATGACCACTTTCACTCAGTGTCATGTAACTTTACTTGACCCTGTTGCTTACATGCCTTTATGTGATGGCTTCATGATCAGTAAGCAAAATAACATGTTTATGTGCAGATATTAAATAAGTAATATCTAGTGCCA